TGGCGAATTTAACATGGCGATGTCCTAGGAAGTGTAAATTGCCCCCCGCTGCATCCCTTTTTCGATAGTTCCGAACTAGGTCTAAATTTAATAGTTCCGAACCAGTTCTAAAATCGACAGACGAAAGAAAAAAGTATCATGATTTTTCAATCTTTTTGTTCTTCCGTGTTTGCGATTTTAAGTTATTTTGGAAGAAATGTGTTTTCAATTTGAAATTAAATTTGTTTGAATGATTGTAAGAAATGTACGTTTACATACCTTTGGCTGCAGCTGAGTTTTCAGAGTTGCTCTCTGTTGCTGGTTAGATTCCAGACGGTCCCAAGATGTTAAGACGTTAACACAAATTTTGGTTTTGTATTACCAAGCTACGAAAAAGCATCTGCGAAATGCAGAATAGAAGCGTATTTGAACGAAAAAGCCGCCGAACACATATCTATGTAAAGTAAACAAGCCCCCTGCTGCATCCCTTTTTCGATAGTTCCGAACTAGTTCTAAATTCGACAAATAAGATCTAGTTCGTTCTGCATCTCTTTTTCTATAGTTCAGAACCAGTTCTAAATTCGCCATTTTAGATATAGATTTCTAGTGGAACAAACTAAAAAAATTAGTTTTTTAAAAGTACCACTTTTCGTCGATTTTGGACTGGTGGGGATATAGTTCCTATCGGACTAGTTCCTTTTTGGCGATAAAGACCTAGTACGAAACTAGAAATTTGATTCACTAGTCCGCGGTTTCCCTGCAGGAATATGTACGCCTAGAAAGTACCAATAGTTGTGAAGTGGTTACTTTTTCGAATATTTTCCTGAAATTTCTCTCACTGAATTTTTCGTTGAATTACTTTTCTTGTGCCGGAAAAGAAAAAAAAGCGAAACTTTTTATTTCGTCAAATGTTCAGTTTGAACAAATATTTTAAATCGAATACGAATAATGAACGAACAGTTTCCTGTGCGTTTGGAGATACTAAAAATGTACGAAAACCGCGCTCTCGGCAATACATATGTACGTACGTTTTTCTGCTGGCTGGATAGGTGCTGGCGATTATTACAGTTCGCCATTTTAGTACATACACCCACATAACGAGCACAAACACCCGCGTACATGAAAACTGGTGGTAGCATACTTGTATCTCCCGGTCCAGGCGTACACACACATCTCCTAAGAAAAATTTTCATTGATTTACTTTTGCTCAATGTGTGCGTGACTATTGCTGCTGTTGCGTTGGTGTTCGTGCTGATGCTGTTTGTTAGTGCAGCAGTGATAGTACGAGATTTTTGTTATTTGTGCTCCGGCCGGTTTTGGCGTTTTTCACAGTACGCCTGTGTATTTGTGTGTGTGAAATTTTTTGGGCGCGGTCCTTGACATCGCGCACGATACATGATACCCGACGACTTTTACTACGACGAGCGCCGATAAAAAAAAAAAAAAACAATAACAACACCAAAAGCACAAAAATATACTAGTGGTACGTACTCTAGGAGAATGACGGCGACTACCGACATTTTTTTTACACCATGATGAACAAGGCTATTATACCGTCTCATACTTAACGAGATCTTTGATTTCTTTTATCTTTCACTACTCACTTTTTTCACTTGGCCAAGTCACTTAAACATTTATATACAGACACACAAATTTCAAAGGTTAAAAGTCGGCAGGGGTTGGTTCAAACGGCATACACACTTGTCGTTTGGAATTAATTGTATGTACATATTTATGTATATTGTAAAAAATTACAATTTTTCACAAAGAGAACATTGGAATTTTTAATTACATTTCGAAATAAATCGCAATGAAAGTTACACTATCCTTTTCGAGATAAACCAATCTTCCTGAATATTTATTTTGTAGGCTTTTTCCTTAAACTCTGCATATTCACATATTTATTCACCAAATCACTAAACGCATTAATGTACACCTGTGCATATTTTTATCCGTTTTTATTTGACTAACATTTACTTGGTATGCTACTTTCGGTTTAATGAACAAATATCTTTTGAATAAAGATTCTAGAACTCAGGACAACAAACTGCAAATTATTCCTGAAGGTTTGCTAATGACAAAATATAGGAATTTTCCAATTTCAAAAATACCTCATTTGCGATTACCGGCTGTTGGGTTATGCATGTGAATAAATACTTATTTTTTATAAAACAATTTCAAAATTTTTCGTTGACGATGAAAATATCGTCCGAAAATAAGCTCCAGATGTTTGGAAATTGTGACTATCCGCTCAGAACTGCAGCAGTAATTTTTAGTTCATTCCTTTTTTCAATATCAATAACTCCATATGAGCATCAAAAGATTAAATTTTCTTAATAAATCACAGGTGAATACAAACGCGATATCTTAGTGGAAGCTATAGATGTTTTTTTTTAAAGGATCTAGATTATAATTCAAAATGTTACAGAAAGGGCAGCAAAGTAACACACCAAATTAAAAATAAACTAAGCAAATATTTAAATAAAGATATTTCCAAAAATAATATAACTCTTAGAAAATTTCTTTAATTTATATGAAGCCCAAATACTTAATTTAAAGAGATAATACCACCTCGTAGCGGAAAAGAAATTTACAAATTTGTCAACTAGCGACTGATCTTGAGTGCATCCGCTCAGTACATAGGGTTTGGTAAAGATACATAAAAGTCAGCCTAATAGTTTAGCGAGAGCTATACGTAGAAAGTTATATTACAAATTTTTTAAATTAGGTTTTGATTAATACTGATCTACAGTATCGGTCATATCTATAGCACGCCATTTCAAAGTGATATTGTGTGCCACTTATGTTTATTTATTTATTTTTAAGAATTTTCAATTAAAATACAGTTCTTTCTCTAACAAACCCCATATAAACCCAAGTTTAACAAATTATAGAAAACTTCAAAAAAGTGCAACAAATTTTCACCTAAGTTTCAAACTTTTTTCTCGGAAGTGTTAGATTTTTTTCGAGTACACAGTTTTTTAATATCACTTTGAAATGGCGTGCTATAGATATGACCGATACTGTATGTACTTACACATAATCTGAAAACTGTTTGGTAAGGATTCACAGGTGATATAAAAGGCAAAAATCATAGGGTATCGGGTATTTTTCGCGGAGGCAAAAAAATATCTATTACCGTAGGACCTGAGTTTGATCCCTGGTCCCGGCAATATCTAGTTTAAAAAAGTGTTTTCTTACAGCGGCCACCCCTCGGCAGGTAATGGCAAACCTCCGAGTTATTTGTGCCTTAGAAAAGCTTCTCATAAAATCCATTTGCCGTTTGGAGGCGGCGGACTGAGGTTCCCTTCATTTGGGTAATAAATCAAGACACACACCAAAAATTGGAGGATAAGCACGGCCAAACACTTACCTAAAGTGTTAGAGGCAAAATATTATTACTATTATTATTATTATTATTATTATTACTTTTATTATTATTATTATTATTATTATTATTATAATTATTATTCTTATTATTATAATTATTATTATTATTATTATAATTATTATTCTTATTATTATAATTATTATTAATATTATTAAAAAATATCTTCATAGTTAGGAATTACGTGGGCGTTACTCTTCTAAGCTGAAACCCGAGCCATAAAGTTCATCTCAAATCGACAACTAGAAAAATTTTATACATATATCGTTACCTTAATATAGAAAGGCCCTAACTCATATAGTCGCCGAAATACAAAAGGCAGTAACTAAGTAAATATTCAAAATTCCCTTTTTATTGATTATGATGCATTTCATGTATATATAAGTCCCCACATCATTTTAAGCAATAAAAAGTTTTAGTCAGGTACGGCTTTTTTGCATTTCAGCGACTATATGAGTTAGGGCATTTCTATATTAAGGTAACGATATGTAGGTATGTAGAATGCTTGCGAAACCTCCTTTAATCAAATTTTGTTTACCATAGTTAGCTATTCATACTTGTGCAGCTATCGGGTTATGTGGTTGACAATAATAAAATACACGGCAAAATAATTATATATAACCAGGTAACCTGATAATCAGGAAGGTGTGAACACCTACAATATGGGGTTAAAGAAAAATTAAATTGATATTTTTAAACGCAAAAAAGTTACATAATACAAGTAATTTTTAAGCAAAAACATATTTTACATACAGTGAGTGCCAGACAAAATCGTACAAAATTTTTTTTTCCATATTTCGAAAATATGTTGTTTTATTTAAATTGTATTAATTTTAATAAAAATGCAGTTCATCTTACAACAAAATCTATAGACCTCAAAGTTTCTTATTCTTTATTCGGAATTTTTAGAATTTTTTTGGGCTGTTTTATAGCCCATTCAATTTTAGTAGTGCAAGTTTGAAATTGTTACAAAATACCGCTGGTTCTTGGCAATTTTTTGTCGAGGGTGTTGCGCATTTTCTTTCATATAAAAATAGATTTTGTTCATGCGTTATATGAAAGAAAATGTGCAACACCTTCAAAAATAAAAAAACTTCCAAAAATCAACGGCATTTTATAGTGATTTCAAACTTGCACTATTAAAATTGAATAGGCTATAAAACTGCATACGCAAAAGAATTCTAAAAGTTCTAAATAAAAAGTGTTAATTTTTATGAAAGTTTGACGATTTTTTATATTTGTTACAAAGTTAGAGACTTTGAGGTTTATGGATTTTGTGATAGTATGGACTTAATTTTTATTTAAAATTAATAAAATTTAAATAAAACAACATATTTTCAAAATATGGAAAAAAATTACTGTACGATTTTCACTGACACTCACTATACATATTTCATATATTAAATAAAAAATATGAAAGTTCCCTATAATGACCTTAGTATATATCTATAGAATTTTGAATTATGGTCTTTGTTAAATGTTTTTCAAAAACTTATCCGTTCACACACTTATTTTTAAACTTATAAAGCTAATTACTTAACGTCGCTCAATTCAGGCTCAATTTAATTACAACACCAAGTACATACCCATGTTTTAAACAGAAGTAGTGAATCCTTAAATATTTTAATTGCACTTGATTTCACAACACTCCGCAGTTTTTATTAAAGTTTAAATATTCGAAATTCGTTTAGTAGATACTGGTAAGATTTCAGCAAAGTAATTTTACTTTAGCCCCGCGTAGGTCGTAGTTTCGCTCAAGGCCTAAAGTGTTTGAAAAAATGCACTTTCAAACGTCCACAACCCCATGTGAACCCAATCGTAATCTCCGTACCAAGCGCGTAAGCCTGCCAATTCAATATTCAAGTCCATGGCCAATAACTATCAACTGTCATTCACTGAACTTGCCACAATTTTTTTTTGCATTGTCGAGCGAAGCTCTATAAAATGCCATTACTTTCGGATGATTAATGACACCATTGGCACTGAGCGTTGCACACTTTGATCGGGTCGACCATCAGGCCATCAGCCAGCGAGCGAAATTGCTTACGCATTTACTACAGCGACAACGACTACAAAAGTGACGAACATTTCTGCCAACTACCGCGCGTCGAATATTGGCTGCATCGATCGCGTGGGCAGCAACTCCTTACAAACGATGGCAGCTCCATCACGCTGCACTTCGTCGGTGACAGCACTCGACACATCGGGTGTTCGGGCAAATCCAAAAAGGACACAATAGGATGTTTGTCATTTTGTATTTTCCGTAGTTCGTAGTATGTCTCGATAGAATGGTCCCTAACTGTCCGCTCTTCAGAACGTTTCGTTGCGTTTCCCACCATACAGCTCTAGCCTCCTCCAGTCAACTACCTAACTATACAATTCTCTACTCACTCATTTAAGCAACACTTTTACGGTCCTCTCACTACCTACCAATAGAAAGTTGTCACCTACTCCTAGTCGCTTTTGCCTTTTGTTAGTGCTTTTGCTCCAATATTAGCGCCAGACTATTACCAGTCCATCCAACTATGTGGATCCTGCTGTTTTGGACGGTGTTGGTTCCTGCTCAGCGTCCTTCAGCGACGCACAGCCGATATGTTAAAGCGCACCAAGCGCACTAGTTGACGCCTAAACGTCTACTACGAATAATGTTCGTCGCAACGAACCCCGATTTCGGTATTTTCCAAATGGCGGCGTCGCACACACTCTTACTCACGCATACACCTACAAATTTAGGACTCATATCAACATACATACACCGAAAGTCCAAAAAGTTGCAGACATTTGAGTTATTTTCTATATACGACACACCAATACTGAGGCAAAAGTACCCTAATGTATGCGTAATATTAGTACATATGTATATAAAACATCCTCTAGCAAGGACGTGGCAGGGCAAACCAGCCGGGCTTTGCAGTTGAATCAACTTATAGTGGGGTGACTGGTACACGTACGAACTCACCAAACACATATACACGTAAAAGCGTTTATATGGTGTATAAGGAAATATGTGTACCGTTAGTGCTTAATACACATGCACATCAGACTATGCAGCATCTCTCACTAACACACTCCACATTCAAGTGTATACATATATGTATGTATGGATGTGTGTATATATATGTATGTAATCCAATTTCTTAATGATTGTTGCGTTCGACATTAGCCGGTTTCCGCAGCTCGTCCACTATACCTGTATGCTACTCTCGCTCTCGACACTCGACACTCGCGCAGATACTTTTCATCACGTTTATATATATGTGTGTTCGCATATTCTTACATATGTATATGTATGTACATATATATGCGGTCCAGCTGTGGGGTGAGTTGGGCATACGAGATTAGGTTTATCTCAGCTTGAGGCCATCTTCTTTGCGTTTTTTGACTTTCAGCTCTTCGCAGATGAGTAAAAAGGCTGACCGGCAATAGCAGTTTTAATTGAAGAGTCCAATTTGAACGTTCATAAGTCGAAAAGTTGGCCGAAACTCCAACAAGTTGCTGCGAAAGTACTTAGGATTTAGTGAACGCATATGTATGTATATGCATGTGCATGCAAGGACAAATTAAATAGTGCTTTGGTTTATAAAAGCCCTTTAGGCAGGCGTTGTGTTGCTGGATTTAATTTTTTTTTTTTAATTTATAAGGGCACACGATTTAAATGTGAAAATGTATCCAAAAGAAGAGCGTAGTTAAAACTTCTGCAAAACAACAGCACCCACCATCTCGCAAGCAATTATTGCACGCATGTAGTGTCCTTACATAAATTTTTCGAAACATTTAGAGCCCCCGCACGTTACAGACTTTATCGGGCGCCAACTATCTAGCCGGGTTGGGCTGTATGTGCGCACAATGACCAAACTAAATAGTCGGGTTGGTGGTGGGTGCACACTAGGGTGGTCCTAAAACAGTAAAGTCGGAATTGTAATGCTCTCACCCCATAGGATTGTTCTATACCGAAAAAAGTTATTTTGAAATCAAAAAATATTTAGAGGTCGCTCAAAGCGCTCAAAGTTTTCCATGTATTTTTATATGGGAAAAATAAATTTTTACGTAGAAATGGTATAGAATTCTTGAAAGCCAATATTTTTCGATCGGAAAACTCTGGTTCTCTTCAGGAGACTTTCAATAATACTATCCAATGGTTATTTTTCCATTTTTTAATACTAATGATTTTTTATTGGTCGCCCCATTCCATTTTTCGGGGGTGTCGTGGGTTTTTGGCGGACCTATAAATTATAGTTGCAATGAAAAAATGGTTGAATAAACAATTGGGTATTACTATTGGGAATCTCCTCCGGATAAACAGGGTTTTCTGGTAGAAAAATATTGATTTTTAACTATTCTATACCAGTTCAACGAAAAGTTGTTTTTTTCCATACAAAATACATTTAAAACTTTGGGCGCTTTGAGAGCATAAAAATTCCGACTTTTCTTTTGCACTTGCATTTTTGGACCACCCTAGAATATCGACGATAGGGCTGCTAACTTTTTTAGATATTAAGTGCATCGCCTATAACTAATAGCACCTGACTTTCGGCCGCAAGCACGAGAAACTATAAAATTCAAATTTTCGGGGACAAAAACCATGTTATTGCATATTTATTTACATACGTATCTTTTAATAACCCTTTTATAATACATTCTTTGAAATTTAGTACCAAGATGGCAGCACTGATCGATGATTTGGTCCGACTAAAAAGTCTGCAGTGGGCGCACGTAAAGGAGCGCCTCGCTGATCAACCCGTTAGTTATAGTTGGAGGGCTTTCTAGTTTGAACGCAATCGGGCTGCATTTCCAACTATGTAGAGGGCCGCGGTTAAGTTGGTGTAGTTTGTGCACCTCAATACATCTTCACGTGATTCAAGCGAACCCGACTAGATCGGCGGCCGCTAAAGTCCGCAGCGTGTGGGGGCTCTTACCCTTTTACCATGTTCGGACTGACACTAAAAGCATGTTTTCGTGGCTAAAATTGGTTTTCGGTCTAAAACTGTTATTTTCGTCCATGTAAAATCTGCTAACGAAAACTAGATTTTGCTGAAAACTACTTGAAAACTCACGACTCACTCATTCCAAAAAGGTTGTTAATAAAAATAAAATGAAAGAATGAGATTTTGTTGCGAACACCCTTGAGCCCACAATCCACAAAACTCGTTTTCAAAGTGTTTTCGTTGTTGGTGTGAACATGGTATTAAGTGGGAAACAACGCTGAAAAGTACTCCCAAGTCGCAAAAAATAACTTTATTTCGAATAACTACTACTAAATAGTCACATCAAAGAGAGCTTTCATCATAAACAATTATTATGTTGAAATACACGGTTAAGTTAGTTAGGATAACTTGGCTAATTCGCAACGATCTTCGTATACTGCCAAGCCTGGTACAAAAGCCTCAGATGCAAGCTTTAGTACATTGCTCAACTTCCGATTAGCGATATCCCACAATGGGGTGAAAAATGCATAAACAAAGCAAATTTAAAGCCACCTTTGTTTGAGGCTAGACATGGAAAAGTTTGTAGAAGATTTTTTTTACCATATGAATTCTTCAAAACGATGCCCCACTGGTCTGTAGTGTGCTGTTGTACATAAATAAGTTTCAACAATTATTAGGTTAGTTAGTATAGCGCTATATGAGCGAAGCAAGATTTTGAGAGTCAATGCAATGTCTTTTACCTCCATCGTTTTTATGCGTAGCTCTGATGTTTACCGATGTTATGTTACCACTAGATAGTGGCCCGTCTGTAACCGCAGAATGTTCTTCACTGCTCTGAATTGTAACCAACTGTCAAACGATATATTCACGTTGGGGTTAAACATGGTCAGTTTGGCTGCCACTTCAACTTCCAAAACCTGGGAGCTTGTATTTAGAATTGTTCAATAAGAAGCTATGAACAGAATACAGCAGCCGCTACCTCTTTCCGGATGGTAATGATTTGTCAAATGTCGAACTTTAAAGGAAGCCACAAACGTTGCGACCTGTGGTTCAACTTGATGATGTTATGCTCTAGAATGCAAAGTTTGTGGGCCAGTTGAATGAAGTTGTGTTTTGGTTGTGTTTGATTTTTTTTTTTTTAGTTTTATTTGTTCACTAAATAAACCAAAAAGGATAACTTAGCCGAAATGCGTGTTTTGTACAAAGAAATTGCACGCAAGATTGTATGGTACAATGGGTACAATAAATAGTTTTATTAAAAGAAAACTAAACAAATTCATTTTACATATGAGGCCATGAGGACCAGAGGAGCCTTTCTACAAAAAAAATTTTAGTATTATGAGATGAGAAGGATCTATAAAAAAAATGCGGTCTTTTACTAAAAAATTCATTGCACCTACGTTATTCTACATATTATAGTAGAAGAAAACTAAAAGCGCGTGCCTCGAGCTATTACCGTTTCGATTCTGGTAATGCATTTTTTTTTTATGTCAGTTAAGGTACTCTGACGCTTACGGCCTCATATAATAGATACATTACCATACGTATGTATTAAAATACATTTTTATTCAATCTCTGTATACGTACGTGTATAAAGCAGAATATAACAAAAAGTTGTGAAACAAAAAAAAAACATAAATATTTTTGCAACGCATGCGTTTAAAAATATACTTTTCATAAAAACACGTTTTAATCTCTTGTATTCTGAACGGGATCTTAGCCTCTCTGAATTACCTTTGCAAGATAAGTAGGGGTTTTTAATCGATTTCGAACGTTTTCGATAATATGCAGAGTTAGACTTAATAATATAATTGAACCTAGTTATGTAGGTACAAATCGATTAAGTGGTTATCGAGGTACACCTTTATAGTTATAAAGTGGGTGGTGGTACGCCCAATTCCTGAAAGTGTATAGCCATGGGCGGAGCCAGGTAGGGGCAGGGGGGTGCTCGAGCCCCGTCCCCCTAACTTTCAAATTTTCCTTATATATATATAAAATAGTACCCTGAAATGCCAGCTTAATAGAGTCGAACCCTCCCCTCCCCCCCTAAATTTCATTCTGGCTACGCCGATGTGTATAGCAGTTATTTATTGTTAGGAGATTGTTGTAACTATTAACTTGGAGTAAAGTAGCGTCCTCAGTTGTTGAAATATCGGAGTTTTCGTATTTCTGAAATTTACCTTTATACGAGAAGTGGGTGTAATTGTAGTCCGATTTGAATAATTTTCAACAAATTGCTTTTCCGTACGAAGGTTATTATGTGCACCAAGTTTGGTAGAAATTGATAAATTGATTACCCCGGTACACATTTGTGTTCATAAATGGGCGGCGCCACGACCATTATCAAAAAATTTTTAATATTCTAATTTTTTTATAAGTGGATTTAGATTTATCGCAGTTTTCGTGTTTCTGTAAATTACCGTTATATGGTGGGCGTGGTTATTCCCGATTTCAAAGATTTTCAAGCCACTTCTTAGCTAAACCCCACCCAAGCATCCTACTGAGTTTGGTAAGGATTGGTGAAGCGGCTACTGAGATACGGCATTTCATAATAAGTGGGCGGGGTCACGCCCTTTCATAATAATATTTTTTTACCACAATTCTACTTCACGTACTAATTTTCAACAATTTGCATCTAATATTTACTGAAATATCGCAGTTTTTGCATTTTTCGAAAATACTGTTATATGGGAAGTGGGCGTGGTTACAGTCCGATTTCGCCC